GCCCCACCTCTCCCAGCCCATTGAACAGTACAAGGGTCGTGCCACAATGGCAGGGCATGGTGCGCTGTTTAGCGAATTACATTGTACTTACAGTGTGAACTGAGCAAAAAGGGGGCGGGGGCGTGGAGGGGCAAAGTGGGTGGGTCTCGCAAATGATTAGCCAGTGCGAGAGAGGGGGTGGAAGAAGAATAAGAAATAATGTCACACGCACACAAGGGCCTAAGTGCGCAAGTTTTGAGAGATTGTACACCTCAAAACTTCTTTACACCGCTCCAGCTGCACGAAGGTGCAGAAGGGTGGAGGTAATGGTAGAAGGGAAGGGTTGCTCCGGGAGGGGAAGAAGAGGGGGATGAGCGTTAGAGCAGAGCAGAGCGACCAAACAAAAACGGAGGACACTCGAGGCCCTCGCGGCCCAACAGAGCTACGCCGTTCGGCAACGAGCTCTTCGCCGTCATTCATTCATTGGGATGGATTGTCCGGAAACCGTCAACCGAAATGGGATCAGAATGATCAGACGGAGAACAGAAAAAATCCGCGGAATCCATCATCCGCCCTTTGGGGGTTGAGGGTTTGAGGGTATGAGGGCTGCCGCGCCGGGCCGGGGGGAGCGCGAGCACCACGTGGCGCGGAATGTCACCAATTTAGAAAAGGAGAGGGAAAAAATGAATGGCACTGGACGCGCTGTGAACCGGACTGGAATCCGGCGCAGAGCGTAGCGCAGAGCGTAGCGCTGAGCGTAGCGCACCCGGATGGGATTCCAGACGGAACACTGATGGACTGACATACTCAATACGACTGGAATTCGGCGCGAGCCACGGCACGGGCACGGCATCGGGTGTCCGTCAGGCAGCGCAGCCGCCGGGGCGCAGCGGGGGGCCAGGGGCCAGGTGGGCGGGAGCGCGGCGATGCGTCACGTGGAATTCAACAGCCAGGTGCCTCGCCACAAGGTTCGACCTACGCGCAGCACGCACAAGGGTACAACGCCACCACTCTTGGTACGGCGGTGGTGGTGTGGGAGTACTCTGTGTCTACAGTAGAGTCACCGTTCGTGTCACATGGTGCGTTTAAATCGCGTGTTTGTGGATTCCAGAGTACAATAACGTTTTACGATGGTCGTACATTTTGGCGTGGCCCGAGTACACTACCGCTATCCGACGTTGCTGAGCGGGTACCCATCAACTGCAGTGAGCCACGAGCTTCCGAATCAAAAACACCATCATCACAACGCCCCTCCCCGGTGGCCATGTTGTCACTCATCGACGCCGCAGTGAGTGGGAGCGAGACGGGGCGATGAGCGATACGGTCATGGGTCATCGCCACAATGCGATTACGCGAGAGAGACAGTCGATATGTTTGGCTGCCGGCCACATTTCTCTCTTTCCCTCTCATGTGTGTTGTGCTCCGCTCGGCTCCGCTCCCCCGCGGCGCCGCTGACGCTCAAGGACCCATTCATTCCATCTAACCTGATACCAATCGATGGGGACCCCCCCTCCCCTCCCTTCTCTCTCTCTCTCATTAGAAACAAACGACAGACACAGCGCACGCACACGCACACACACACACACGCCCGCCTCTCTCAAACACGCTGGTGGTCCATAGCGCCATTACTTTTCGACCCCCTATCCTCTCCTCCCCCACTTTAAAGGCATCTGATGAACTCGTTTATCCGTCTCACCGCCAGCTCGACTGCATCTGACTCGGTGAGGGTCGGGCGCCCTGGTCGGGCGGGCCAGGGCCAGATGCGCCTCGCACATCGAGACCACGCGGCTTCGCAGCAGCGGCGCGGCCGGGCGCAGACCAGGCAAACGCGCTCCAATGCGCATGTGGCCCCGAGTTAGTGGCTGAGTGTGATGTAACCAAATCAATAAGGAGTGCGACCAAAATCGACCACGATGAAGGTTAACACGCTCAACTTAGTGTGAAAGGGCGGGAAAGTAAAGCGAACGCGTGCTTGGTTCGAACGCGGCCCCGCCTGCGCTGGCGCGCGGGTATGTACGTACTATGTACGCTCCGCGCAGATAGGCGAGCCTTCTGCTGTTCCGACAAGTTTGTCTCGAGTGTTTGAAGTTAGCGCCGCCCCCCCCCCTCCCCATTCCCCGACCACCACTGTGTGCTTCCCCAGCGCACGCCGTCAGGTGTGTTGTGCGAGGTGAGGTAGCGCTGCGTAAACACGTTAAAATTTCGGCGCTTGTCTCGGAAAGCAATTAGGAGTCTTGGTCGTCCCGTGCGCCCCACCTGTGTGTGTGTGTGTGTGTGGGTCAGCATCCACCATCGGAGCTCCTCCTAGACAAGCAAGCTTTGCTTTGCCTCGCGCTTTCCTAGACAAAGAGCGGCGCTCTTCTCTTCCTCTGACTTGTTCTTCTGGAGTGAGACAAGTAAGAAGCAAAGGGGTTGCGGCGAGTCGCGGCGGAGAGCAGGGGCGTCTCTGGCGGCCATCCATTAGCCGGTGGTCCGGCGGCCTATTCTTCACAGACGAGCCGCGTCGCGGCCCGCCCAGGGCCTGCCCTGTAACCCAGTTGCGCACTTGCCCTAGCCTTTCCCAAGCCCAATCCCTTGTTGTTTGGCCCGCCCACTTCACGTGCGCCCCATGGCCCGGGGCCCGGGCGGGCCCGACCCTTGGCGGGGCGTGGTTTGGCGTTGGTTGTTGGTCCGTGGATTTCCCCAAGCAGTGCGGTGCAGTGCAGCTGAGGATTAGGATGAATCTGCGGAGCCCCGGCACCGCCCTTCAACCCCCTCCTCCTCCCGTCTTCTCCCATTGAGCTTTCTCCCGCCGCCGACCTTTGTTTCCCGGGCCTTTTTCACGCATTCACCGACGGCAGTGAAATCCCTTCGCCGCGGTTCCTGTGTTCCTGCCGCGAGAAACATTAATTACTGGATGTTTTGCAAGGGATGAAAAATAAATGACAAAAGACCGGTGCTTTAATTGGGAGCGGGAGGAGAGAGGGAGCCGAGTGAAGTACATACGCGAGTTGAAACGGTGCCGGCGTGGGCAGCCCACGTGAGACGCACTCTCTCGCACACGACAGTCATCAAGGTTTCACTGCACCTCTCTCCTGAGGGGGTGGAAGAAGACCTCTTTACTCCCGGACTGCAGACTCCACGCCAGTCGAACGATCAAGAGTACGGCGAGGAAAGGAACCAACAGCGCTGAGAGGTAGGTCCGCCTCGGATAGAGGAGCGCCCCGCCCCGCAACGCTCCGAACCGCCCCGCCCCGCCCCGCCCCGCCCCGCCACTCTGAGGGATTCCATTACTGTTCCCGCAAGAGTGGCGTCTTATGGGCAATTCCTTTGTGCCGATCACACGCCGTCACCGAGTCGCTGGGGCGCCAGAGGGAGGGTGGTGGGGGGGGGGGGTGCAAGCAGAGGGGGTGGTTTGGCGATCCCAGCGTAATCGCGTGCTGATCTGATGAGGGTGGCCCGGGCCTGAGCGGCGGGGCGGGCGGCCAGGCTGTTTACTCCAAATCTGGGGTGATAGGTGGCGCCGGGGGAGCCGGGGAGGTGGGGCACTAGTGGGGCCCAATGAGGTGAGCGAGGTGGATGACGGCCAGGCCGAGGGCCAGGCGGCCGGGCAGGGCAATCCAAGGGGTGCCTGCCTGGACCACCGACCGTCGTCGGGACGCAAGGCGCTAGGCAAGGCGGAGGGGAAGGACTCCAACGGCCGGGAGGCAGCAGAGGCCAGACGGACAGCGGTCATCAATAAATCGCAGCCCTGTACGGCCGCATGTGACCCCCGTGGAGTCGCGGCCTGATTGCAGGATTAGCCGCGCTGGGCCTCCGGCTCGGCTCGGCGCGTCAATGTGACAAACACAACGGACGGCGGCGCCATCGCGCTGCGACGTTGGCAGATCTGGAACAACCCTCTCGGCCCTCGGATGGACAAGGCAGACAAAGGGGGCGACAGAAATGGAACAACCAGCTAAGTGCCCTGCCGGTCAAGAAGCAGGGCCCCGCGAAGACACCTCTGAAGGACACCGCCGTGTCCTCGGTCGCGCAGGTAGGCCGTGCCGCACGACAGGCGCGCCCGGCGGGCTGGCCTATCGCCGCTGCTCGGGCGCCTCACGCTGGGGGTCAGGCGACTCGCAGTCGGGACCGACGCCATAGTGCGTACACCTCAACATGAGGCTTCAGTTTGCTTTGAAGAAACAGTCGTCGGCCATCATTGAAGATGAAGAAGAATGACTGAACACGGTCGTCGTCATCCTCGTCAGTTGCCCGGCCAGGCTCCCTCCCATTCCCGTGTCCCCCGTCCCATGCGTACTCCTCGACTTTTACGGTCGTCCAATGCATTCACTCGTATTCACCCGACGATCGACCCGTCGTTTCCAGAGCGCCGATAACTCAATAAACGTATTCCTCTCGATAGAACTCCGCTGCCGTCGCTGGCCGACTGGTCAGCTCGCCGATGTCTGCTCGTAACTTATACATCAGAGCCGGCCCCCTCCCTCCCCCACTCCCTCTCAGCCCTCACCCTGGCCGGCCATCGTCTTCCTCCTCCATATTGCACGGCCCTTCTGCGAGATGGGAGACGTTGAAGGAGGGGGAGGGGGATGGCGAGGGGGGTCTTGGTTTTAAAGAGGGTCGAGCTCCGAGAAGCGCAGGGTAAGACCAGAGGCTAAGGACTTAGGTCCTGAGTGAGTAATCCCCAGGGGAGGGGTCGTCCATGAAGTACTTGTTGAGGGGGACGGCGCGCGGGGACTGTTCTAGACGATCCAGACGAAAAACTGGGGAGGAGTGCGGGGAGCAGCGTTCGCGGCATCGCCGCTGTGGGCTCAAGATCTGGCTCCTTGACGCGGTGAAGTCCAGCTGTACCCGCCATGTCGGCTCCGCTGCGGATACAGATCGGCCGCCCCGCCCCGCCCCGCCGCTCGGCGCGCGGTGTCACTCTTCCGGAGCGAATGGGGTGGAAGCAGCGGGGCCACCACGTTACTTCCGCAGCTCTTCTCTCGCAAATCCTCCGCGCCGCCCCAGCCGGGGGCTCCAGGGCTCCAGCCGCGGCGTGTGTTGCAGCGTGCGGACTATACCAGCCCAGCCTACAGCGCGGCCCGACCCGGCGAGACGCCGCTCTCGGGGCGATACTCCGCGCGCGGCCACGCCCGGAGTATGTCCGGCCGGCCTCGGGGGGCATTCCATTCGGAGAGTCGTCCTTACCGATCTGGTAGCGCCGCGGCGGTATCCTGGGCGGCACTGGAGGCGCCGGGGCCGGCGACAGCGGCACGGGGGCCGGCGTCGAGCGCTCCAGGGTCTCCTCGAAGTCCCGGACGGCGCGCTGCAGGGCGTCGCGGACCAGGATGGACGCGTGCGGCGGCAGCGACACGGGCGACGGCGGCATCTGCAATCGGAACAGGCGGGTTATTTCACGAATGATTGTTGTAATGTATTTCGGCTAAACGGAGGAAGAAGAGCGGGTAGAACACAAAGGTGTTTGATTGGTAGAGCCTTTACCTCTTACTAGTACTGGCGTGACGTAGAGGCGGGTAGCTCCAATCGGTAACGTGTTCTACCTGCTACTTTTCTTCCTCCACAACCTTGAAGTAGTACCAACTTACGGCCGCTGCGTTCAGCTCACTGACCTGGGGCATGGTCTGCTCGATGACCCAGACCTGCGGCTGCTCTGGCGGCGCCGCCAGCCCCAGCAGCACGTCCATGGACTGGCGCTGCCGCCGCCGCTCCCGGCGCCGCGCCTTGGTGGCGGCGTGCGTCGGCGACCCCGCGCCCGCGCCCGCCAGCCGCTCGCAGAAGCGCACGAAGTCCAGGTCGATGTGGTAGCCGTAGGGACAGCAGTCGCACGAGGGCTGCTGCGTGGGCGGCTTCCTCGGCGAGTCCCTCTCGGTGCGCGCGGACCGCGGGAACGTGGCGTGCTTCATGGCGAGCGCCGCCCCCGCCGCCCCCGGGCCCGCGCCCCGGCCGTCACACGGGCCGTACGGCTCCTGCGGCCGCAGGCACGCCGTCTCCATCCTGCGGGACGAGGGGCAAGGTTTAGATGTGGTCGCAGGCGAGGCTGTCGCGGTGAGCTCGTCGCCAGACTGCTGGGCGGCTCCAAGTCCCGCGTCAGGTTGCCGCGGGCGCGTCGGCAGGAGCTTCTGTTTGACCCGGTACATTCGCCTTGCAATCTGGACGAAAGTAAAATGTGATATAAAAGCGATGGAGGTGTGGACCAACTCCAACGGGAGCAATGCAACAGTGATACGCACTCTCTTCATATCTGATTTCAAAACATGGTCGCGGTTCTCAAATTCACTTTTAAGGATCTTTCCAGGCTTACTCTCCAACGCCTCCATCTGCGCCCGCTTGCAGGCCGCGGACACCAAAACAACCTCCTTGGCTCTGTCAGTCAGGGCGCCGTGAACGTGCTCCCCCCTCCTCCCTAAGATCCTAGATAGGGAAGTGTCTGTTGTGAGTTGAGCTGCACACTGTCTCTGGCAACACCTGAATCAAAACATATTTAGGATGCGGCGCCAGCGATCGAAAACAGTGCCATGTTTGCAGCTCATCAGTGTACGATACCTCCATGTAGACGTTGTTTTGTCAGCGCGACGAACGCGGCGAAATTTAAAATTATCATAGATTAGGCAGTCTGCGCCTTTAGAGGTCTGCGTCACAGAAAAGTCCGTGTTGTTCTCGCAAAACTCAGTGTTACAAGCGACAAACAAGAAATTACTCTCTCCCACTTCCATTTTCACTACTTGACCTCACACCTGAAACAAGGGAAACAGACTTGTAGGGCACCTAGCTGTGTTGTCTCTACCATACATTGAGATATCGGAGCCAGAACTCCGTCATTCCGTCGCCTAAAAGGAGCGGGTAAGGGAGATGAGTGCCTCGATTGCTGCTGCTCGCAGAGGGACTCGCCCTCTCCGTCTCCAGCGACTGGCGGCACGACTGACGAAACGTAGGAGGGACTGACGACTGACAACAAACACCTGACGAAACGGAATGGCAAGCAGAGGGCAGAGCACACGAACAGTCGGACCACCTGATCCGAATCCAAAACGCTTCCGAAATGGGCGACACGTACGAGGAAGATGCTTTGCCCAGACGCGCTCGCACCCACTAGCCGCTTTTGAACGCAACGATGTATTTCTCGAAGAAGATCAAAAGGAATGTCGTCTGCTCCCGGACCACCACAAAGCGTCAACCCAATCAGAGAGGGCCTCTCTGAAGGCCGGCTCCAGAAAGGCCCTCTGTGATTGGTCGGAGGCCTTGTGATGGTCCGGGAGCAGACGATACTCACCTGTTTTTGTTTTCGAAAAATATGTACACCTCCCTGGGATAGGGATGGGGACCGTTACAGGGCTTCTGATGGATACGTATTTGAAAGAATGACGGGCCGGGTTGGCTGACGCGCGCTGCCGCTGACGACGCCCCTCGAGTCCGCGCGCCCGCGGCTGGAAGAGCTGAGCCGCTGAATGCCCATTCCAGGAACGCCCCGGGGCTGTTGACGCCGCGGTGGCCAGGTCAGATGACACCGCCGGCTCCCCCGCCCGCGAGCCGAAGAGACACGCTCGTGAGCGTGCATGCACACGTCCCGAGAATCTCCGGACAGAACAGACCACACGGATTTGGTTTGCGGCGCGACGGCGGCGTTGTGGGTAAGGATACGGCCCGACACGAATCTAGATGTCGCTGAAAGTGAAACACGGCCTCGATGGCCGTGATCGGCCGGCTACCTACACTGAGTGGAACCAGAGACCCGTCACGAGAAGAATGCGGCCGCCAGCGTAGCATTAGGCGGCATATCGGGCGATTCGCGCCCCGGCGGCCCCTTCTCCTGCCCGCTCCTGCCCCACCGGGACTCGTCGGCTGTCACGCGGGCGTCACGGCGCGGCGGCGCTTGCCCGTGACAAGCCGTGACGAGTGATAGCGCCCCGCGAGCGACACCGCGACTACGCGCCGATGGCTCGCGGCGATAGCGATTAAAAACACCGGGGCGTGGCGGCCCACTGGTGTGGCGAGGCGTGCCAGCGGCGGCGGGCGTGACATGTAGGGCCGCTACCGCCACAGCAGAACATTCGGCCGAGGCAAGAAGAACTGATGTCAGTTGTCCTCACCTTTAACCCGTCGTCTCTTTTTGCGCGGTGCTCTTAGTGCCGGGCCGCGGGGCGGGGCGGCGCCGTGACGTCAGGTGTGCCGCGGCGCGTCGTGTGCCTATCGGGCGCCGCTCTACTCTCGCCATGTGAAGCAGACGACGTCACCCCCTCCACCGCCAGCGAACCGCCGCCGGCAATTTCGCCAGCAGGGCCATAGCGCCAGATAGTAAAGCCCCTGCAGCCCCCGCCGCCCCCGCAGGACTCTACCCGATACCGACCCCGCGCCGTCAAATGTCAGCGAAAGGGGAAGGGCAGGGAAGGCCCGGGCCGCCCGGCCCCAGGGGACCGCAGCGCAGCGGCGCCGGCGCGTTCAAACATTGGCGCCGGCCGAGCGCGGGCTAGAGGCGGGGCACCAAGGTAAAGACAACGCACAGGTGCGGCAGCGTTGCCGAACTTCTGTCCCGCAGTCTGATCCTTGCACGGGCGGGAGGAGGATGGTCCACTGCGGACTTTGCGGTCCTGCGTGACAGTCCCTCCCGACGGCAGCGGTCGGCGCCATGGAGGCCGCCCACGCGCGGCCGGGGGTCTTCTCGTTCTCCAGCGAACTCCTCCAGGTGCCGCCGCGCTCGCGCCGCGCTGCGTGGTGCGGAGGGCGGGGCGGGGCGGCCTTGGCTCTAGTCACTTTCTTTGCGCGGCGGCGGGGCGCGGCTGCCCGGCCCGCGAGGTTGGCGACCACCTGTTAATGATTCGTCCCCACAGCTTCCGCCGGAATGTCGAGTCCGCTGCGTGCGCCGGCCGCCCGCCCGCTCTGCCCAATATCCAATCATGCGTGATCGCTGCGGGACCCCCGGGCGCAGGGGAGGAGGGGGGGGGGGGGGGCAGTTGTAGATCATCCTGGGCACGACCGGCCCGAGCAGGCAGGAGGACCCCTCCGCTGGCACCGGCTGACTAGGCGGGGCGCGCCGGCGGAGACGTGGGCGGCCTGGCCAGGAGGACAGGCCGGGTGGGCCGCGCCGCCGCTCTAGCCGGAGGTAGCTCGGCCGAGTAGAAAGTATGAAAATCGGAGGTGTGAGCCGCGGAGCCGCGGAACAGCGGCCGCGCCGGCACAAGGCGAAGGACGCCGTGGATGCTGGGCAGGTGTGCGAGCGCCGCGGCGGGGCCGGCAGCCTACGGCAGCCATGCTGGTACAGCGGCTGAGCGGGCTGAGCACGGTTGCAAGGATACAACACGGCCTCCGCTCGGCACCTGGCCGGCACGTCTGGCCGGGCGGGCTGGGCCCGCGCGGCGCGCGGCACGGGGAGGCGGGGCACCGCCGGGCTGGGGCAGCACGCACATGCTGTCTGCGGTCGCGTCACCCGTCACCCTCAGGTCACCTGCCACCGGGAGGTTGGCCAGCTCCTAGAGCTGCTCCTGGAGCTGATCCACGCACTCACCTGGGCCGGAGGAGGCGGGCTGGCCGCGCGCTGCAGGCTTTGGTTCGGACAGGACAGACAGCTGCGGCTAGCCGGGCTAGCCGCGCCTCCGTCGGCAACAGGTGTGCTTACAGCGGTACATCGCAGTCGACTGAACCGAGTGAGTCGAGTCGAGCCGAGCCGAGTGCGAGTGAGGAGGCGCGGCAGGGGCGGGAGGCAGGTCCTCCTCCTCCCGGCCCGGCCCGGCTAGCGCGGCTCGGCTCGGCTCGGTCCTGCGGCCGCGCCCGGCTCGGCCCCGCGGCTCGCGGCTCGGCCCGGCTCGCCCCCGCCGCGCGCTCGACTCGTCAGGCTGGCAGCCTGCACCAACGCCTCTACTCGACGGAGCGCCGCCAGCGCAAAAGCCAAGCCAGGCCCAGGAGGACTTCCAGCGCAGCCTTTCTTTTCAGACGAGACGGCAGGGCAGGAGGCAGGCCCCCTCCACTGCCCGTCGCGTACCGCCCCTAACCGGCCAACGGCAAGGCACCGCCTCCGCACCGACGGAACAGGACGACCGGGACTTGTTGGCCCTCCCCGCCGCTGTGCAGGACTCGAGGTCCTGCAGCCCGCAAGGCTAGCGCAAAGGGGTGGGGGGCTAGGTCCTCAGCCTCACGACCTCCTCCAGGCGCACAGGCGTGCCTAGTCTGCAGGGGCTTGACCAAACGGCGCACTGCACCTTGTCGCCTAGCGCTAGTTGTTGCAATATCTCTCCTCCTAGTGGAGCATATAAAATTCACATATTTCAGTACTAAATTTTGAGAAAGGTTGATTTCTGTCATTTCATTTCATTCATTTCATTACAACAGGCAAAACGTCAAAGCAGAATTAAAACAGAGAGGAGTAATTCATTTATTGTTATGAATGGAACAATGTTAATCCAAGTTACAGAATAATACTTAGGTGAGGTTGGGGAGAACTCTTCTTACATACTTTTTACTGCTAGAGTGTTGAAAGATGCAAATAGTAATACTATGATTATTTTCAGTATTGAATGGCAACATGGAAGTAGCTCTAAATTCTTATTGTGGAAGAACACAAAACATTAAAATAAGTATACATATAAAAAAATATAGGTGGATGATTTAAGGAGAGCTCTAAGCCTCAACAAACAGCAAACAGAGATGGAATTTCCATTTAAATAATGTGTTAAGACATTTGAAGATACGTTACCAATATGTACATTTGGTTACACAACTTCTCACTCAATTCACAACAGAAGTCTGTTGCAATGAATTTTACAAAAAAGAAACAGAAAGAACTGTACAAAGTTAAATTAATATTTTTGGAAATTTTAATTGGAGCCAAAAACACATGGTCAGAAATAAACAGATAAAGGTTTGCTAATTCACCTACTACCTGATTAAGCAGGCAATCAAACAACTAAAACCCATCACTCTATGATGTGCAGCCTGTGTCATCATATCACACCAAATACAAACAGTTGTACTAGTTGAGAACTCGAATCACGTGACTTCACAGATCTAACATCAGTCAATATCATTCGCATTCAATCACCATAATTTTACAACAATTTTATGGCTGTTAAATGACACATGAGATAGTTCATTAAAAGTTGAAGCAGGTGAGATGTGTTTTTTTTCACAATCACAATAATTGAAGATAGATCACAAAAGCTTAAAAGGCAGAAAACTAGACAAAAGAAAATCTAGTCTTTGACTAGATGTAATAAATAATTCAGTCTAAAATCAATTCATACATTTGCAAACAGATCATCTCTGTCTTACATGAAGGGGCCTTTTAAGAACCTGTCTTACATGAAGGGGCCTTTTAAGAACCAGTCAACCACTGTAGAAAAAAATTTGATCACACATAGAGTGAAAAAAAAAAAAATTGCATGACTTATGGCACCTTTTCATTACCTTACAGCTTATATGTTGTAGAAGGGTACAAGAATTTCAAACCAAAGTTTTTTTAATGGAAATGAAAAAGGGGCCAGGTAAAAATCACGCACCATGCCATACATCAATAAAATGGCACTACACATTACTGCTAGGTATATCACTGAACTTGAAACACATTTTTTCGATGATGTTAATGACATTTAAAACCAAGCTTGAAACTGAAGGTAGAAAACATTCACAGATGTCTACCAGGCCGTCCTAAAGACTTTTCACACAAATATAAGATATTGTGTAGTTAACACAATGCAAGCATGGTCTAACCATCTAACGGAACTAGTTCATGCTTACTGAAGCAATTTTAGTTTGTCTTTTTCACCGGGCTTTCCTTCATTTTAAACTGCTAATAATGTAACTACCATGGCCCACATTTAATTGCTTGTAAGCGCAGAGGCTTCTATTACAATTTGCACACTGACTGCTTTTTGACAGGGACTCTAGGTATGAGTACTTGGTACATCTAGCACCACTAATCCTTTCTACATATTTTTGATAAGTCATGTAGAAGTGATAACAGAAACCCCAAAATAAAAGAGAACTGAACAGTTTCTAGAACAAACTAACCCAATTGGTAGAAGACCACAATCATACACTCAACCTGAGTTTACACGCAATGCACCTTTAAAGAAACATTGAAACAAGTTCCATTAACACATTTAACCATCTACACAGTTACTAAACAAATTAACACAATTTTGTACATGGATGACTTGTGCACTTAAAAACAACATGGTAAAATAAACGGTACAATATTCAGGTATACAATTAACACATCTACTAAAACGTAAGACATTCAACTATGTTGCAAAATAATTACCCCAAAATTCAAAATGGAACAAGTGCAATTCATCACCAATAACGAAACCCCCAGATCAAGTGAGCATATAGCATTATATAATACCAGTCAGATTTAGTTACCACGATATTGATAGTAAGAATATTGGACGAAATATTTTTTCTAAAAATTTTGAATGCGAATAATTTGTATTATTACACTAAAACCTCTGTACCTAATTCTTCTCACAAAGAAGGATAGATTTATTAAATATAACCACTTAATGACCTCAACTGTGGCTGAACACACGAAAGAAAATAAATAAATGAAATGTGAGTGATGAATGAAAAATTGATGTACCAACACATGAGTAACACAACCAAAAATAACTGAATATTATGCCAATATTCCAAAGCTAATATGTATTGTGCATGGCGAGGTAAAGGTTGTCTTTTTTTGACTAGTTCAGCATCATTTCACTGATCTCCACTGATAGAGCAAATCATCATCAAATCATAACAATTACAGTTAATGTTGTAAAAGGGGAAAAAAGACAGTATAAAATTTACATACATTGTCTTTTCTGGTAGGAGGAGCAGAGAGTAAGATTTCAACTGCGCTCAGAAGTTTAACTTCATAAAATGGCAAATCTTAAAAAACAAAAACAAATCCTACACAAAGATAATTGCATAGAACTGTAAAGTTGCAGAAATAAGTAAAAATTAACACACTTCAATACTTGCTGGATAACGAACAACATTTTCCATAGGGGAACATAGCTACAAGCTTTAGCTTCATAGCCTCTAACAAGGTTAACTTCGCTTTTTTCTCAGAGCACACAGTGCCCTCTAATATAGGTTCTAATATTTTCGGCAATTGATACAACTTTATGGTTTATCTTTTGCTTTTGAAGAGGAGGCACCACTGCCCTTATCAGCCTCTCTACTCTTTTTATCACAACCTTCCTTCTTTTTGTGAGGCTCCTCTTCTTTTATCACAGATTTCAGATGTGGTATAAACGGGAAATACGGAGTACTAGGAGTACATGGCGTTGTTGGTGGCGGTGGGGGCGGAAGAGAAGGGACAAGTTCTCTCAAGACCTCCTCCCTACTCCCTGGAGGAGAGTCTTTCTCTTCGGCGATTCTTGGCAGAGGAAGAGGATTACGGCCATCGATGGGAAGAATCCCCTTGACCGTCATGTGACTCCCGTCCTGAGTCTGCTCCGAGTCCTCCTTGGGCAGACTCCGGATGCCAGACAAGTCGTCACCAGAGTCCTGCCTCATAGACAGAGGATGCTCCGGCGGTTTCGTCTTGAGGCCCTTGTCAAGCGACGACGCTTTGGAGAGCGGCGAGCGCGAGGTGACGGTGGAGCCCGGGGCGGAGCTGGAGCAGGCGGCGACACTCACCTTGGGCGCCGGGTTGTTGCAGAGCGGCGAGATGGACGGCGCGCCGGACTTGCTCTTGTTCTCGGCGCTCCTGGGGTGCAGGCGGTCTGGGGACAGCGCTCGCCGCAGCAGCGGGCTGCCGGGCTCGGCACTCTTGGGCCTCGCGAAACCCTTCTTGCTGCAGGCGCCAGGCGTGGACAGCGACGACCCGGGGCTGTAGGACTGGGTCGTGTTGGAGCTGCCGGGCTGGTGCACGGCGGGGAAGGCAAGCGGCGACGGCGACCTGGTGGGCGAGGATGGCAGCGGCGAGGGCGACGGCGTGCGCGCGAGCGGCGACAGCGGGATGTGGCCGACCGACTTGCGCCGGCCAGAGGGCGAGTGGATGCTCTTGGCCGCGCTGTGCAGCTTGTGCTTGAGGCCGTGCAGTGTGGAGGGCCGCTGGTAGTGCGGCGTGGTGGCCGCGGGGCTGCTCGCCGCCGAGGACCCCGATGAGCTGGACGACGTGTTGGGCGAGTAGGGCTGCGGCGTGAGCGGCTCGGCCGGCGGGAACGACACGCGGTTGGCGGACGGAGAGCGCAGCGGCTTGACGCGGCTCGCGCCCGCCACGACCGCGGCCAGCGGGGACGTGTCCTGCGCGGCCAGCGGCAGCGGCCACGGCTGCGACCGGCTGGGCGGCGGGCAAGTCGCCACGGGCACGGGGCTCGAGATGCTGAGCGGCTGCGCCAGGTCCACGCTGGCGCGCTTGTTGCTGATGCGCTTGAACAGCGACGGCTTGCGCCGCTTGTCGATCAGGTCGCGCTTCTGGCGCCGCTGGCGGTTCAGGCTGCGACGCGCCAGCTTGCTCTGGCCGGGCTCGCGCCGGTGCCCGCCCGCCTTGATGGACGTGTTCTCCAGCGGCGTGGAGCGCAGCGTCACGTGGTCGCCGCCGCTCAGCAGCAGGTGCAGCACCTGCGTGTGGAACAGGCCCTGCACGGGCTCGCCGTTGATGTGCGTGATGAGGTCGCCCGGGCTCAGGCCCGCCTCGAACGCGGGGCTGCCCTCGTCCACGGCCTGCGGGAGAGAACAAGGGGGCAATGAAGAAAATGGACAGCCGGGACAAGACCAAAGGACTTGCGTGCGTGCAATCATGTATCCACTTGAATTTAAAGCATGAAATCCAACCGAAGTTCATGAAGTTCGAGTACTGTGTACTATAGACTCTCTCAATAGGCAAATCAGGTGCGGCAAGTGCGACATACCATAACGAGGTGATGCATGGTGTAGTAGTTGGTGTCGCCGTAATACACGCGGATCGTGTTGACAGTGAACCCAAATCCTCTCGCCCCTCGCTTGATGATGATCGGAGGCTTGAGGCTGGTCACGAGGGGCGACAGCTCGCGGCAGGGTGACGTGTCTCGGGAGCTGGCAGTGCTTGAGCCGCCCGGGGACGGCATCGACTGGGGCGAGTCATCGGCTGCAAATTGGAACAGTATTAATTAAAGAGAGTCGCAGATTAACCTCCTGTGCCGTCTTCCACTCTTTGAACAGAGAAAATAAACTTACCCAAATACAAGCTAGACGGTATCATAAGAGAAAGACCACTTGCTGATGCACTCTTTATCACAGGTCTTCCACGAGCTTTAATGGAAGAGACCGGAGAACTTTCATTGTTGCTGGTAGATGTTGATGGCAAACTAGGTCCTACTCGGATGGTGCTCTTCGGTGACCGCTCTTCCATTGGAACAAATGCAGACCCATCTAGTCCTTTGAGGACAGGTACACTTATCCTGGAAGGGAAACAATTGAACTCATGGTAAAGTGAACATCTTTAGAATACTAATGAAAATGTATCAGTGCACAACATATAAGTCACACTTACATATGCTTCTCATCTTCAATGGAAATTGAAAATCGAGGGAGAGAATCCCGGGTATGCAAACGTCTTTTTCTTTGCACTTGAGGTGACACGTCATCGCTTTCTGTCTGAGAAGACTCGGGGGTACTGAGAGAGTGGTGATGAGTCAAACTAGCTGGCTCCACACGGGACTCTGACAATTCCTTGCTCTCATCAAGCTCCATACTGCTTCCAACATTAGATGAAGATGATTCTGAGTTGCCAGAATCTTGAGCCAAAGGTGAAATATTTGATACCCCAGAACAAGCAGATTTTGAAGTCTTGGGTGATTCAGTAATTGTGGACTGCGACTGAGCTCCTCTGGCAGAAGGGGGAGTAGTTTCCCGAAACATAGCAGCAGGGGAGGCTGACGTTTGTGGCACTCGCCGATCTTCGGTGCTGTGAACTTTGTGGAAGCGAGGAGAGATAGAGGAAAAGGAACCAAACAGCATTGATTCATCAGTATCATCGGTGTCTTCTCCCATATCATGTTTATATCGGTCCATGCGAGCTGCAAAACAAAGTCTCTGTAGCACAAGGCAAGAACCAACAAGCCATTTCTTGAGATTTCGAGAATAACAGTTATTTACTCACTATCAAAGTAACTAGTATCTTCCTCATCATCTAATTGAGGAACAAATTCAGCTTTTTGACGGAGCAAACTCGTCCAATCCAAACCACAGAAATAAGGATGATCTTTGACTTCTTGGGCACCACCTGTACCAAGTCGAATCATAGGATTGTGCTGCAGTAGCTGGGTTATCAAGTCCTTTGATTCCAACTGCACAGGCCACTCTTTCTCATCTGGCCATTCAATATCATCTAGGAAAGAGAATAATCAAATAAGAAAACAACAGTTTTTTAAATGAGGAAAATTTATAGGAATTTCTTGAATTTGTCATACCATTTACGGTGTGAGCAAAGAGTTCTTCAGGAGTTTCGCCGAAAAAGGGAACACATCCTATCAGAAATTCATATAGAATAATTCCCATCGACCACCAGTCAACTGGTTTTCCATAGCCTTGCCTGGTATAAATCAGAAATACATTGAAAACTGGATAGATAACTTAATAATAAAAATATAACAAGCTATCAAGGAAATAATCCTACCTCAGAATCACCTCAGGTGCAATGTACTCAGGTGTACCAGTAACTTGCTTATCTGAAAATTGCCTAGTTTCTCGGTCCAGATACCCTTCATAAAGATTAGTTGTCACTATAAGAAATAAAAAGTGAGTTAGGAAATTGTATACATATTATCATTTTTCAAATGACACCTATGACAAGAAGAGAATGCCAAAAATGAACATACACGACATTAGTCCCATCTTGCTGAGACCAAAGTCAGTGAGCTTGATATGGCCAAGTGCTGTGATGAGTAAACTGGAATAGAAAATTGATTGATTGCTTGTGGAAATGATAAATATCTAAAACTACAAAGGTATGATTCACAAGAATAAGAAAAACTTACTTGTCAGGTTTAAGATCACGATGAACTATCCCATAACTGTGCAAGTACTCCACAGCTAGAACAGTTTCTGCAAAGTAAAACCGGGCCATATCTGAAGGTAGGGGACCAATGGTCTTCAATAAAGCTGCACAGTCCCCGCCTTCAACATACTCCATCACAAGGCAGAGATGTTTCTAAACACAAAAATAAATAAAAAATCACACCATGTACAAGATAGTAGCATTAAATAGAAATATTAAGCACGAAAGGGTATGGAAACCTACTTTTGTTTCAAAACTGCAGTACATACTAACAACGAAAGGATTATCTGTGAAACTCATGATATCCCTTTCTGTGAAAACCTGATCAACTTGATTTCTAAGCATCAAATTATTTTTTGAGATCTTTTTCATAGCCACACGCTGGCGGGTCTCTTTTACACGAACTAAATAAACTGCCCCATAGGCACCGTTTGAGATCAACTTTATCACTTCAAAGTCTTCTTCTGCTGGATTCTGTTCGGACATTATGAATACAAAATGTATTTATAGATACTACAAAGATACAACAGTACCAGTATAAAGATGTCAATACCATTAGTGAGAGCACTGTACCTTAAATTCCTTCTTGCTGCCACGGTGTAAAATTCCACGTCCTTTCTCAGTAGTTGTAGCAACAGCTGCAACTGCTGAGGAGCACACAGGAGGCGGGGAAGGAGGAGAAACATTTATGGAACTGAGATCTGCATCCAATTCTGGAAATTAAAGAATATACATCATACAATGTAATGGGCATGGAATTGTTCTGCCTGCCTATTTCATAAAATAAAAGTTTACAGTGCTTACCTGCACTTGAATTTTTGGTCATTCCCAGCTTGCTGAGGATGTATTGAGGGATATCAGCTTTAATACCCTGATGTGCAAGTTTTGCTTGCCCTTCAGCCTCCTCCAGCATATGATAGAATTCTTCTGGATCAAATTCCAAACATTCAAGAAGTCGAGCAGGTCGTGATATTATTAAGAGAAGTCTTCGAACCACAGTTCCAACTCGGGCTGATGCTTCAATAGATTTTTCTTTTGTCTACACATAGGGGAAAAGAATAGTATCAATTAAATAGAACAAAACATTGGTGGAAGATGCTCCAAAACCTCAACACTTACTTCACTGTGAAGTCTCTCAAGATTCTCTGACATGTCATAAAAATAGCGGCTTGAAATAAGTTTCTCTTCTGATTTTTGAAGACAATCTCTAGCCATTTCTACAATTTGATGGAGCACAAAGCGTAAGATTGGCAAATCCTTTAGGTGAAGATCACAATCACCTTCAGTTACTTTTGTCTCATTTATAAAAGCTTTCAGGCGTTCCTCCATTTGTTGAGTGGCCTATATTATGAACAATGCAATAAATCGAAGCCAGTTACACAATATGTTAAGTTTAAAATTTGAAATAGATAAGAGAAAATTGAAAATAAGAGCACACCTTAGGAAATCTCTCTTTGTACATAGTGTTCATAACAACAATATCTGTGTCCATTACAGGAGAGCGGCTTGGGGAGCTACAACATAAAAAAAAAAAAGAATAGGCGATTATGATGGAATTAAATTTAAAAACTCATGGAAACTGTCAACCTATAGAAGAGTAACAAATCATGATGATTATTGACTGACCTTAGACTACGAGATCGTGGACGGCTTAGTGGTGACCTTGGACTGCAGTCATCAAGAACACAGCTGTGATGAGTCTCGTTTGAAAAATGTCTCGTAAGCATCTGAAGTTCTTCCTTTGTGGGGAGATTAGGCAGCTGGTGGAGGCGTTCTTGAGAAGAGCATTGAGACTGGAAAAAAAAAGGCATAAAAGTTAGATGGGTTATAAAATTCGTTGAGCCTCCAACTGTTGAAAAATACATCTGTATTAGCTTCTGTAGCTGCAGAGCATGCACACCCTGAAATCCATACAAAATGCAATACATATTCATCTACGTTGCCAAAGAATATTAAGTTCTAGGTTATATGAATCAACTTATGACATAGCTAATAATGAATCTCAATAATTCTCATAAAGTGAGAACTAGAGACCTAAGCATTCTACGTAACTGTGCTTGATTGTAGTTTCAATAAAAAGGAATGAAAAAGAGAGCCAGAATAGTATGTAATGCAATTTTCGGGTGAAACAAATCTAACACCCTCCCTAGGAAAACTGCAAAGTCACTTACGGATCTCATCCTTCGTTCCCTCTGTCGAATAAATTGATCAAATCTAGATCGACTATCCTAAAAAAAAAAAAAGCAAGCAGAGAAATTTGTAGCTCCATTCTGAGGACACACTTGTTAACAATAGCAAGCTACAAGATTTATCAAAATAAACCAACATAAGCAAAGCAAAATAAACAGGCTACAAAAAACCATGCCATGTACTGAAAAGGTGTAATGAAAAGTGCATGTCTTTAAAGGTGTGGATCTATAAGATCATATATTTTTACCACACATGACAAGCAGACATCTATAGATTATGAAAAGATGAAGAAACACAAATTGTAGGATTCCTAAGCACGGCAGTAAACTTACTGAAACACTGGAGCTCCCTGGCGTAGTTCCATAGCCTGAGGATGGCAAAGAGGCAACAGACCAGCGCCTGCCTTCACACCTGTATAGGGAGAAGAATTTCAGTAATAATTGTCAAATAATGCATATGGCATTGATGTGTACCCAATAGTTGGTACTCTATAAGTGTAATTGAAATAAGCCTAATTTAAATGAGCATTCAATATCTTTAGCTTCATGAAATGTAAGATACCTATGAGCTCCTACCCAACAAACCCCAAGATACTAACAAGATGAAAAACTGAGACCAATATATAAGTTGTGACTGGAAGGTTTAATTTACATTCTACAAATTTTTAGTTTCAT